TGAAGATTACAGAGCCGAACTCACAAGAAATCTGTAATTAATTTCCTTCACTATTTCCATGAACTAATTGGAGTTTTACATTTATATATATAGTTATTAATTTTGCAGAATTCAATTTTAATTTTAATTAGGAGTGAGCCCGATGTCAACTATTCTGAGGTGCATAAACTCGCAATCTGGTTTAAAGGTAGTACCACAAGGTAATTGTCAATTATTTTCTTTTTTTGGTCATAATTGTCAATTGAATAATTTTTTAGAATATGCGGCCTAATTACTATACATTAATATATTACAAAAAGGAGATTATGATTTTGAAGCATTTGTGATGTATGCTGTAACAAAGGGTGGAACAACCCTTAGACTATAGTAGGCTAGCCCAATTCAAATAATTAGATAAATAAAAGTTTTGTGTTACTTTTAAAAAATTCAGCATATTTAGTAAAAATTAGCGCACTCCATTCCACAAAAAATTAGTCTACTCCACCCTAGTAGCTTTAAAAAGGAAAAATTTATATCTCACCCGTAAGAAAGTTCTTGGTTCCGTCCTTATAAAAATAACATGTGAAGGAACAATTTCAGCTCAAAATAAAAGAATTTATTTTAATATCTATTGGTCTCCTCTGGATTTTTGTATTGTATATTATGAGCTCAAACGGAAGCTTCTTAATTTGTTGCACATCCTGGTCTTCTTAATTTACTGCATTTTGGACTTACAGTAATGCCTGTGGCCGGGTTGCCCTTGCCTGTCAAGAGCTCATTGATGCAAGTGAAGCACAGAACAAAGAAGGGTAAGATTTTATTTATTCTCTCATGATCCCCAAATATTCTAGTAACAAAATTTGTGAATAATATACATATATGTGTCGTTCTGTGCTTGTAGGTGCCTTGTGGCTCTTGACAATGTCAACCGTGAATATCTCGTCGCCAAAGAGAATTTGAATCGCATTATTGGGGTAACATTTATTTTGAATCTTTAATTCCTTTCTCAGTTTTAATTTGCATGTTGCATGTTGCATGTTTTTACATTGTATCACTTCCAAAACCTTATGAAGATGTCATATATATTTAATTATCGTGCATTTGATTGCTGATTGCAGATTGAAAATAAATAAACACATTGATTTTATAATTAGAGACCATAAACAATATAGGAATAAAAACTTGCCTTGGTAATTGTCCTCACACAAATGTTCTAATATTCATAATTTTCTTTTCTATAGATGGAACGTGAAATTTATAACATGAGGCTGCC